GACGCTCTTTCTTTGTGTGTATTTCTTCCTGTGGTGGTTTAGGCGTCTCGAAGTTTCCCTCAGTATGACGAACCAACTAGCCCAGCAACAAGTACTTCTATTTTGCGGCCTGAGTGGTACTATTTTGCGGCCGGCGTGGTACTATTACGCGGCCCACGTGGTACTTATATGCGGCCCGCGTGGCACTATAGTTTGCGGCCTGAGTGGCACTACTTTGCGGCCTGAGTGGCACTATTTTGCTGCCTGAGTGGCACTCTTTCGAAGACCGCACGGCACTATTATGTGGCCCGCATAGCACCAGTATGCGCCCCATGTGTCACAATTATGTGGCCCACGTGGCACTATTATGCGGCCCGCGTGGCACTATATTTCGTCCAACGTGGCATTACTTGCGGCCTGAGTGGCAACAGTTTGTGGCCCGCGTGACACTATTTTGAAGTCCGCGCGACACTATTATGCGGCCCGCATGTCACTAATATGCGGCCCGCATGGTACTATTATGCGGCCCACGTGGTAGTTATTTGCGGCACGATCAGCAGTATTATGTGGCCCACGTGGCACAACTATGCAGCCCGTGTATCACTATTTTGCGGCCCATGTGGCACTATTTTGCCGTCCGCGTGGCACTACTATGCGGTACCCGGCACAGCATCAAAAGCGCCGCCCCCTCGCCCTTGAACTTCCTTTCTGGCCATTGACATGGCAGTTTTGATTAAAAATTGAATTTTCGTTTGTAGCCTATATTTCATTACAACTTTGTCGCATATGTGCTGAATATAAACACGATTACTAATCGATGTTTACAAAGTAAAGTGTCGAAAAAGTAGTTCTTGAAGGAAAGGAAAAAGAAAAAGCTAATTTCTGGCTGCGTTGTTAAGCTCACGGTTAAGGCGATACGATTAAGCTCCTTGTAGGAGATGGGGGAAGAGAATAAAAAAGAATAGTAGAAAGAGAAAGATATACAGTGTGTCCCACGTAACTTTAGTCAGCGTTTAAAAAATATGCCAGAACACGTAGTTACGAAGTGATCAAATGCATGTGGCTCACCGGTTGCTTGGAGTTAGTCAGCCGTTTTTGTGTTTTCAAATATTGTTTAATTAGATCTGTTATTTAACTAACTTTTCCAGAAACGAAGATAGATAAAAATTTAATGAGAAAGTTTAGATCGGTTTGTAAAACGTCAAAGAGATAGTTTTGAACTTTATATCTGTTACGTATTAGTCTTTTTCGTGTTAATTGCAAATGCCCGCGAAATGCGAAAAGAATACCACGTGACAAACTAACTCGCGCGCCAGTGCGCACGGTGATTTTAGTGCTTCCTGACGTTCCGCGTACGAACGACATGCTTCCCTCACACCGGTTCACGACAGCAATAAGCAGTCACGGTGGCAATTGTTTTTGTGGCCGAAAGCAAAACGTGGTCATCGTAAAGCCACAACCATCGTGGTGGCTTTGCCGAGACAGCACAATGGGGCAATTGCTATGGTCGTTTGTGCACGGAACGTTAGGGAGCACATAGTGCGCACTGGCGAACGAGTGGGTTGTCGCGTGGTATTTTTTGTATTTAGCGGGCATTTGTAATTAGCAGAAAAACACTAATACCTAACAGATATAAAGTTCAAAAGTGTTTAGTCGGACGCTTTCCAAACCGATCTACAACTTTCTCATTGACATTTTTTTATCCATCTCCGTTTCTTGAAGAGTTGTTTATTGGACAGATGTAATTAAACAAGATTTAAGAACACAAAAATAGTCTAACTCCCAGCAACGGTGAGCAACATGCATTTGGTCGCGTCGTTAATGCGTGTTCCGGCATATTTTAAAACTCTGGCTACGCGGGGCACCCTGCAGAAGACGGAGCACTTGCCGTACACCAGAGAAAAACGAGGAGAGATGGCGGACACGGTCAAAGGAATCCAAGGGCGGGAAACCACTCGGCGAGAGCTACACGGCGTCAGGAGATCGGAGACTGTAGGCTGGTCGGCGAGAGCTACGCTGGTGTCGGAGATCACGGATGACACAACCATTCAGCATCGATTTCACCGAGCGAGTCCCAACGCGCAAGCCTATGAGGCCCTGAACTAAGGGTTCCACCCTTTCAGGGAGAGTGCTAATACTTGCGCACTTGAAAATGCTTTCTCTCTCTCTCTCTCTCTCTCTCTAAGCATAGGTTGCCCCACGTAAATTTTTTTTGAAGTACAATAGATGGAACATATGCGTATGCACAGCGTATGCGGAACAATCTTAAAGACTTAGAAAAGTCCAAACCCGGGTCGACCCGAGTCCGCCTCCTCAAACCTGAGGGCGAGAGCGAGCCTCTCGCCCTCGGGTTTTTCTTCAGTCTAGGTGATGTGACACCACGCGTAAACGCTGGTACAATTTGCGAGTGTGTGGTCCACGACCGTGGTTACTGCCTTGTGGCTCGCACGGTCGCAATTTGCGGCATCAGTGCAGTACGTAGTGTTCTTGTGCGTCCAAACAACGACGGTCGCTGACAGTTCTGACGGACTCTCAAGCGACTTGCCGCAACTGCCGACAAGGGCGCATAAACAAACCCGCCCTCGATGTTATCACGAGCGCTACGGACGCTGGCGAGCATCTCACACACACAATCAGGATTTTGTATCGGATTATATGGACACCGGGTCACGTGTGACTGGAGGAAACCCAGGAAACGGATAGGATAGCTCGAGGGTATGCGAGCCGAGCACCTTCTAACTGCGCCCCCGAGGAACCCGTTCCCGTCCCTTGCGGCTATTCAGCCATCCTATGCTGTTACAGAGGACTAAGGCAAGCTTACTCCCTACCATGCAGAATACTATAAATAACGAGGAAACAGTCGGTTGGAGGCAAACTTAAACAGGCCCGTTTCCAAGTTCACGCACCCGGAGTAAAATGCATTCCTCGATATGCTCTTCTCACTGCTCATGGCGCTCAAATAAGGCTACCCTGTACCACGTCACGTGGGAATGTCCAGTGGGGAATACACCATTACAGAATCCCACAGTGGAGCGATGAAAAGAGGTGCTGGCCAGCGAGAATTTTGAAGATCAGCATAGCATGATTGACTAGGTGCACAGAGTGACTGCTGCAAGCGGAGCCCTAGATTAGCACGTCTTGCATGCCAGCCGAGAAGGGTTCCCGCCCGACGCACGTGCTGGTTCATCGTAAGCATGCTAACGACGCCGCCAAAAAGAACGGTAGCGAGGTACTCTGTGGCAAGCCACCATGAGAGATTATTTTTGGACTGGTATGTCTTTATGAGACGCGCGCAGTTATTGGAAGTAGTCTTGCACGTCAGTAGGCGAGTAAAATGCGAAAGTGAACGCTTCTCATCGTCGGTCTGCTCGAGTTCTGAACATTGAGGACCAATAGCTCCCCTTTTAGTGCACCAATTTGCATCATTCTTGTGGCATTCGTCTCGACATTCATTACTGCACACGTTCCGGTTCTAAATAAAGTTGTCTAAAATGGGTCAGAGAGCCCCTTTAATGATAAGGTGTGGAACAAGATCTGGTGCACAAGCTTCCATAAAAGGCTGGTTGTCTGTGCACATAAGGAGTTCCGGGAGGTGGTGTTTTTGCCAATAACACCGCAAAAACAGTAAGTTGGCTATTTGTCTCTTGATTTATTGAGGCTACTAATAACTTCTTAAATCCTACTTAGCTCCCACCTGCCTCTGTAGAAGCATTTCGCCGTGGCCTCAGAAATATGCTCCGGCTAATTGCACGTAAACAGAGCTAAACGTGAATTGTCAGCCGTGTATTTCGTCTTTGACGCTGCGAGGCACTCACATCGGATTGGACGAGCAAGCCTCGTCATTGGCGGCATCCGTACAGACGAAATAGGTTAAAAATTAATGGCTAGTTGCTGGAGTGAAAATCATATTTTCTTTAAAATGAAGCTGAATTTCCGTAAAAATGACAGGCACCATCTGCACAGAGGCACCACAAAACTTCAAAATCAAACGGGAAAGTTTCCATCGCATGCACACAAGTTTGAAAAAGCGATACCTTTGGAACATCCACTGTTTATTGTGTGCGTGGGAGTTCATTCAGATGGGATAATTTTGTAGGGATGAATAATAGTTTAGTTTAAAATTAACGGAGCATTTTGCATGAGCAGAGCGACACTGCTTTATCTCTAAGCGGGCACCACCCGCAAAGAGCGCGCTTCTGAGCTTCATGGCGGATTGACGATGGGGGGGGGGGGGGGGGCAAATGCTTATTTCAAAGTAACAGGAAGAAGAAAGCAGCGAAGAACAACACGAAGACAGCGAAAAAGAACAACCACACAGAACAAGCTTTTGGTGAGGCGCTTTCGCTGGTTTCTTCTTCCTATTACTTTGAACGAGCTCGCCTAGAATGCTACGTGACTGATCTTATTTCACATTTGTGCGTTAGACATTTTGAGGGCTTCCGCTCCTGAATTTTCAGCTGGCCTTGCGAGACCAGCCCTCTAGATGACGCGCTGCGACTTTGGATGGTTAAAAAGTTTCACGGTGGCCCATCGGTAGAGAATATGACTGAAACAAAAACCCGTATGGTGGGTCATACATAGCTTACTTTATATTTCAGCGACTCTTCATCCTCCCAAGTGATGACCATGTTGGGTCCAACGAAGGGTGACCCGAACTTCATGCCACCAGGTAGCACATCGATATCGAATAGACCTCCTATGCAATCCTGCGGGTGAAGCATTCGAAATAAGTCCTCCTTTTTTGACAATGGAAAAAGCAAAGCGACCCTAATAAGACTTAAGGGTCCTGAGTGGCACTGTGTTAGTAAACTTCTCATAAGCTATGACCGATCTTCTTTTTTCACAATTCGATGTATGCCACCCTCCTCCCCTCAGGAATCTTTCAGCACGGCTTTGCGCTGCCTCAAGGATTCGAAGCATTGAAAGCTTTGTGCCCCTCACCTGGTTTTACGTGGCCTCCGTGAGCAGCCCATATACGGTTCCGCGAGAGACGTCATCATGTGATGTCCTTTTATGCGACATCACAATGACACCACAAGCAAGGGAGTGTAAAAGGAAAGTGAGGACGAGGAGGAGAGAAGAGAAGGATAGTAAGTAGGAGGGAAGGAGAGGAGGGCAATGCGTAGCTGTGAGTAGTTAAGTGTGAAGGAAAGGCGGGAAAGTGAAGTGAGGGTAAATAATATCTGAGAGTAAGAAGAAGGGGTAAAGCATAGGATAGCTGTGTACAGGACAACAAAAAAAAAAATAGGAGTGAGAACAAGGAGGATGGCAGTGACGAGAGGGAGTGTGGCATAGCCGTGTATAGTATGGCTATAGCAAGGGTCGAAAAGGGAACTGGAGGTGACGAGGAAAGAAATAAGGAGACAATAAAGCACAGCAGTGTATAGTGTAAACAGTGGTCCAGAAAAGAAGTCAGGGAGAGTGGGAGTGAGGTGAGCGAGAGGGAAGGAGGGAGGAGGGCAGTGTGCACCACGGCATCCAAATTGAAGTATTTTGTTTACTCCATAGACGCTGACCGGGCGTGTGAGACATTTTGAACTCCATGCGCTTGCTTGCCTAAAGGCGAGCGTCGCTGAAGAGCAAGCGTCGCTCGGGCCTTGAATACTGGCATTCATATTTCGTGTAACATTTTTCGATCTCCTAATATGACCAAAGGGCACGCAACATCGTGCATTTTGGTTCTAGAACGTAATAAGAGCTTGTCTCAGGCTCATTTGTCTCAAGGATAGAGAGTAAGAAAAGTACACTGGGAATGTACAGAAGAGGGGTCAGAAGTTCCTATAGCCACTATCCCATGTATTTCTGTGGAAGCGTGGCCCGGGATTTTTTGCCCAGTACTATACTAGAGGGCTAGTTGCTTTCACCGGTGCAAAGGGGGTACAAGCGTGTGTCTCCTTTTGTTTCGTGGTCGTTCTGTCATCGGCTGTGTGCTGCCGTACGTCGTAGAGAACACAGGAACACGAGAGGAAAGGAGAGAAGACGAGTATACTGACCACGATGTCTAAGCCGGTGAGGTAGAACCTCTCGCACGGATGGTACGCCCTCTTCTCGAGGGAGTCCGTAGTTTCGTTCAGCGAGTAGAACAGAGCACCCATCTCGAACGAAAGACCCAGTCTGGTGCTGTTCTTGTTGTACATGACGTTCGCAGAGACCAAGGCTGCGTGGGTTTTCTGCAAGGACAAATTAGGCTCATCATCAACGCCTTGCAAATAATGATATGCGACCTTGATGAGGTATTTTTGGTGAGATATCTTCAAGCCTATACAGGAAAAAGCTTGATTTTCTGGAGTTGAATCGTTACGCTAAAATGTATAGGACTATGAATGCCTGTAGTATGCATGCGCTTTGCTCTTGGCCCCTTCCGAGTCTGCGCTCATTCTATCCACCCGTTTCGCATGTCCTGTTCCTAGGCGTAGTTACATTCGTTGATAACGATGTCTCACCAGTTAGCCATCACAGCAGTCTTTTTGAGATTATATTTTTGCAATCAAAGCGAGTGTCTTGCGAAATCTCGTCATTTCGCGATGAAACACAGGTGGAAGCTTTGAAAGATGCTGGACTGACGTTCCGTTTCCGGCACAAAAAGCTTAACTTCAAGGTAAGGGTATTTTCGCTTCGGTCGACGCCTTTCGAAGTTTTCACTCATATCCTGGTGACCCGAAGCTTCGCTTTTCACCGGTGATTGGACACAGTAACCACCGAACGAAATGACGCTTCTAGTCAATTATATCACTCGTTGGATTATTGAGATAACGCTGAAAGCGGTATTTGCAATGTCTTCGACCAAAAGAACACTAAACCACACAGTTAACTGGGTTATACGAATAGGTCGCGTTCTGGGGAACGTTATTGTCGTTTACTTCAATACCAATAGCAATGGAAGAGAACATTTATCATTTTTACATTTTACACCGAAATATACGCGCCTGAAGCCATGGAATTGGAAGCGATTTTTTCGTATTTTGGTGGAATTGCTTGAACTAGGTTTCCTCAACTTGGCATGCGAAATCTACGGCTCTCACCGAGTACAATGTACATGCATGAGGTTTACTGGTTAGGGATTACGTAACAACACAACGCCCCCCCCCCCGCCCTCCCCAAAAATGTTCTCGCCATGGCATACAGAAGCGACAAATGACCATTTCACAAAACCCCTCTGCCCACTCTCCACCCTCCCGAAAAAGAAATATCTGCCTACGCCCCTGCTCGGGGTTTTAAGTGTGGGAATTTCAAGAAGACATCGCCGCCCACCACTTTTATTTGCGCGTTTTTTCTCTTGCGATTCACAGTTGAGATTCTGAGGAATCAATACCGAAAGCCTTGCTTGTAGCGTGATATTTCACCCCGGCCGCGTGAATGGTGGTTGCGGAGGGATCAGAATCACGTCGCATGTCGCGTGAATGATCTGTCCTCGATCACGTCTGCCGTGTGAATACAACTTGACGTGCCGCGGGCGCACACAAAGACACACACCACGGTGTTTTTTCTTCGGCTTGCACAGCAAGTGTAGGTTTCATCTTTAAAGAAGTATGCTTTCCTGGTGGAAGAAGGGGGGGGGGGGGTGGCGGCGTTTTGAATTAAGCTGCAGGGTGCGTAATCGGCTACGGTTTGCCGTTTTGTGTCGCCTTTGCGGCATAATCCGTACAGTCCATTTCCTCATTTCTTTGGCCCGTCACACATATCTTCCTGAAAAATGCGTGTTTTCCGAACATGAACTGTTTGTATAGTACTAAGCTTGCCTGTTTGTATAGTAATAAGTATTGTATAGTACTAACCTTGCTTTGTCAAATCGTGTTTAGAACACCCTGTAATGGCCTATTCGCACATTACATGTGCATTCTAGGTGTCCACATCTTTTGTCATTATTATTATACTCTTGATGGCGCGCATTTGTGATTGTTTTATGAATATATTCTTATATTTGCCGTGTGCATTTGAAACGCTTTTTGCGTGCAACTCACTTGCAAATATACTAAGTTGTTCTTTTTGAAACCTACACTTCTGTATATCTTTGTGTAAGCCCTTCCTGCAAATATCTCTATTGGGTTTGGCAGTATGTCTGAAGTAAAAATAAAAAAATTGTATCAGGGTCATTCTTCTTTGTCTGACCCGTCACTGGCCCATGACCCATATATTTATAATAAATGCTTGGCCAATAAATTTTATCATTACGTGGTCAATCCATCGTGTTGAATATTAACCATATGCAGTGGGTAAAAAGAAGAAGCTGGCAGTAAGACGACCAATAGAGCCAAGAGACCATTGGAAATATGCGGGAACCCAAGCTAAGGCCAACATAAAGAAAAAAAAAACGCCAGGCCTGCGCGGAAGGCTCAGCAGAGTCACAGCTAAAGCAACACAAGCGGCCTTTCAGAGCCTTTTCTCGAATCCCGGCTGTGGCGGCTGCATTTTCGTTAGAGGCGGAAATGTTGTTGGCCTGTGTGCTCAGATTTGGGTGCACGTTAAAAAACCCCATGTGGTCGAAATTTCCGGAGCCCTCCACCACGACGTCTCTCATAATCATATGATGGTTTTGGGACGTGAAACCCCACAAATCAATCAATCAATCAATCAATCAATCAATCAATCAATCAATCAATCAATCAATCAATCAATCAATCAATCAATCAATCAATCAATCAATCAATCAATCAATCAATCAGAGCCTTTTCTAAACACCCATTGGGTAAGTACTGCAAGCACACTTGCTTGATATCATCTACGGCTTTATTAATAATTTTTTCGGGTAGTAGGCCAGCTCTCACTATACGCTAATTTTCTTCATTCTTTTGAGAAGCGTGGCATCCGCTAAACAATTGCGAGCAGTTGTATGCCAATTGTTCATGCAGTGGCTAACGACAAAAAGGAATTATGCCTGAGTGGGTACGTGCCACAGCTATTAGCTGAACAAGAACAAGCTTTTGTAAAGAGTTGGAGCATTGGACGACCCCCTCGTTACGATATTCCCATTTTGTGACAACTGGTTGTTCATTCGCTGTTTTTAAACGCTTTATAAGTCGTATTAACACGATTGGTTTGCTAACATCAAGCCTGCCCAAGGAAAGTTTGCCAACAAGTCTTAAGCAGTGGCTTGGCTGAGTGGTAGAATACTGGGCTTGCACCCAGCGGACCCGAGCTGGAGCCCCACTGTGTCAATGGTACTAGTTTTTTTTTTCTAATTTCGGGCGATGTGTTTACAGACACCGGCAGCGGCGGCGTACAACTGCGGCGCTGCGCGTGACCCGAGTTGTGATCTCACAACAGCTTTCGCTGTAACAATAAGAAAATCCTAGGCCGTAAGGGGTGAGCTACGCCACGCACCCTCCCCTAAGAAAAAGCGTTCATGTTGGAGGTCGACACCACTGCCACTTCCAGTAGTAGTTGGCGCTTATGCGTCAGTGCATATACGCAGTACTACGCTAAAAATGCATCATGAACAATATCGTACGTGTGAAGTCGTCAGCATATCGGGCGAAATCTCCCGGGAATTCACTTCCGCAAAACATGCCATACCATGCGTGACAAGCGCGCCATCACACACTGCAGAGGATGGCACTCACGAGGTCCGGGTAGGACTTTGCTGTTGTCCGGGCCGGATCCTGTAGTCTAGAACTGTCCAACACCGATGTCGGGGCGGCGTAGCATGTGTCTGAGGATTCCACCATGCTCATCGAGCTGATCGCGATCACCGTGTCGGCCATGGTGTTTCTAGCACCGAGATCAACACCGACATGCCTCACTTTCGGGTTCACCTGTTCGTTGTTTGTGCTGAATTGCAGTTTATTGTACATTTCAAACCGAAATATGTATATTAGGCGAACGTTCTTTACAAAGGAACCAATTAGAGCCCAGTACCGCAATATCCACAACAAGATGATCAAACTGTACATGTTTCATGCAACTGTCCTACGTTTCACAAGCTGTTGGCAGCGCTGTTGAACAACATTGTGTTCCTTCGCAAGTGTCGCATCCGTAAGCCACTGCTGCCCCATCGCTCGGCGTATGAGTCCTGGAGAATGCTGGAACAGTTGAAGGGACTCTGCTGTGCTCACACAGCCCTGATTGTACCAGAGAGGTCTTCCTATGGCAATGCTGCCAGCAGCTTGTGAAAACGGTGTGTATAGACGAAAATAAAACTATGGTCGGACACAACGTATATAAATAGCAAGCGCTGCCCCACAACTGCAGGCGTGGCAATCCATTTACACGCGCATGCGAACCTATATAGGGTGTTCCCACTACACCCGTGAGTATCTTTCTACTTGTCGATGGCTACTTGCCGATGGCAAAAACGAAAACTGTGGCGTTATCTTTTCGTATTGTGTTCTTTGTTCTCATTCACGTTACAATTTTAGTAATAACATCCCCTATACTTTGGTTCGCATCAAACTCTGTTCTCATTGATATGGTCTTTGGTCAGAAACTTGAACTTCTCTGTAATTCGTTTTAGGAATTTTGACATTGGTTCTCATTAAACCCTACAGCTTTAGGTTGTAACAATGAGCACTTAACTCTTGATATGCTTAGTACTTACATATACACAAAAATTACTTAGGATTCAAGGACAAAGATTCCAGCAGGACTTTCTTTCAAGGAGGAAGGGCCGTCGCAAGGTTATTCAATGAAAGGAGCTCACACGTTTCCCTCTGTCGTAAGTGACAGTCACACCTTTTTTACAAGTACATGATCAAGTAGAACTCTGCTATGCTGCTGTACCAGCGGCGATTTGTACTTACTCGACGGCATCTCGGAAGCCTTTACGGTACTTATCCCAGGCGTTCGGCTCGTTGTAATCGAACAAACCGAGCGCAATCACTATCTTTCTGTTACTGTCATCGCCTTGAATTTCCTTCAGTTTCTGCAAGTGACAGAGAAACAGAAGTTTTGTGAATTCAGCCGAAAATCTGAGAAAAAAGGATGCATGCTGTATATATAGACAAGAAGCTCGCTTGACTCATTTATGCAAGTTTTGTAGTCATGCCATTGTTCTTCTTCCTGATTATTATAATCCCCCTTTCTTGTGAGGCGCAACATCCTGACAGGGACCCTTAAGGAAATGTGAACTATGATGGCATTGGCGATGGCCCGCCTACTCACCGCAATCGTTCCTCGGGCTCTATTCATTGAGTCATCCCAAGTCTTGACACTAGTCACCATATTCAGTATGCCGTAGTTTTTAATGTTCGCTGAAGCCAGTTTGTCCAGATGCTTCTTCATAGCCTGGTCGTCGAATGCCTGCGCCGTGACGTACCTGAGCCGAAAATGAAACGACGGGGGAGTGAGTGGAATCTTGCGAACAGCGTTGCGCGTGCGATCTCGGGCGGAAAGACGGGCCCTCGTGTTGATAACAGATACACAGTATAAGAGAAGATCAACCCCAATGGTGCTGTCAGTGAAACCTACGCCTCCTCTATTTTATGCAAGCCAACCAGATGTGCCTGATCCTGCGATTCACCAACCTGTCCTGTAGCCCTCTCCTGCTCTCGCCTATCGCCTAGCCTCCGCGCGTGCTTTGCCGTCATGGCGAAGTGACTCGCGACGGAAATCATATGAAGTAATTTTTTTTTGTTCAGTTGTGTACAGTTCCGTCACGCGGCGTCTTGAATTCATCTTGTTCACAATACGCAATACGGTCACGCTTGCTCTCTGGTCTTGTGGTGTTCTGAGTGACGCTATCGCGATCGTTAGTGATGCTATGCGGGCAACGAATGGGGAAGCGTCACTGCAACGCTACTACATGCGCTGCGCCGTTATGCGGTGGCGGTGTTGCTTCGAGCAACAAAAAAGGAGCACGTAGGAACAAATCTCACAGACGTATGATATTGGAGTGGTAAACACGTTTGTCACATCTCCGGGTGAAAGCGCTCGCGGCACAGGCAGCGCTGTACTCCTCGTGCAGCGTCGCATCACGACCACTCCCTGAACTAAAGCGGACTGACAGCTCCCGTTGATAAGTACACGATTGCACTGGAATCGAAATAAATAAAGAAGAACTGAAAGTTGGGCCAGTTGGTGACAGCACTTGAACATATTTCAGCACAGCTCACAACTAAGCGGACACAAGAGAAGGGACAAACTGCAGTCCCTTCACTTGTGTCCACGTAGTCGTGCAGTGCGTTAAAATAGTTTCAAAAAAAAAGGGCAGATCCCACGTGCAGTGGGAATCGATAATATGCGAAGCACGACTGAAAAACGTTGATGTGTCACTTTAAAATCAACACAACGTTATGAGATGTAGGTAAATGATGCCCTACATGACTTCTATGTCATGATTATTATGTTCGGATGTGTCGTTTACCTTCGTCATGTATTTACGTTTCGTGATACCAAGTTTAGTATATGTGGAGCTAGTGAAACGCCCGCGAGCATGCTATGGGCGCCGTGCGTTGAGATATTCTTACACCAAACGCGTGCCAGGATGATCATGTTTGCACCAGTCATATAGTTTCGTCATTTATTGACGTCACGTAACACAAAATTTGGTATATGTGGAGCTAGCGAAATGGCTGCCAGCGCCTCATGAAGGACCCAATATACTGCAATGTAGCGTTGACGCACGCGCATGCGGTGCACAGTGACGCTACGTTAGCAAAACGCGAGCACTCTATAGTCGGACGCCAGGCGCGACCGGTGCAACCAGCGTCTGTCGGCGCGGCCCGACGGCAACCGGCGCGAAATGCGACATGCTGCATTTTGCGCCGGTGCGTTATCCAGACTAGAGTTACTGTATATGCTACCTTTAGGTAGCAGAGTAGTGCCAAGGTACGCCATTTTGGGTTCAACTATCTTTCGGGAAAGCCCCTCGCACCCACGTAGGAGCAACGCTCGCGCTTCAGAGTGCTACATTGTCCCTCAATATTGAGGGACTACGGTATTAGCATGGCTTTATTGATTTTTCGCTTTCTTTCTATTTTTGAAAGATATGAGTAGAACTCGGTTGCTCCGGTAACACCTAGAAGCCTTGATTTGATGTTTACGTTCTTGGTAGGTAATAATGAAACAAGGTGCGTCGGCTCATTGAGCCAGTAAGATGGTTAGTTTATACCAGCTTTTTATTTATGTTGGTTACAGTAGCTTCGTCTTCTTTTCCACTGTTTTTCCCATCTACAAATATGAAATTATTTTTGCATTTTTGATCGCTATCGAACCAGTTAGGGATGACTTTTTTTCATCGTGTTGTACTTACTCGTTAACTGTGTGAGGGAGCCAAGTATAGTTTTATTGCCTTCAACTAAATCGAGCTGGATAGTGATCGAGAGTACCCGTGCGATGCCCATATTACGCGCGGCTCTCTATTACGCTCGTATTACAATCACGGCTCACGACAGCTGATGTGAATCGTTGTTCAACAGCCCTGTCACGCCCAACATTCCTTCCGCGTAAGGCTTGAAATCTGCATTGAATTCACGTAATTCACGCGCTAGCCGCAACACCTTGCCGATTTGAAAAAAAAAAGTATATTCTAACTCATTCTCCCTTTATTAGTAGTGCTATACCAGTCAGACCAATTGGGACGTATGCAGCCGACACACGCTGACCGAATCTGCAGGTATAACGTAATCACTGCATCTGTGGGTAATACACATTTAGCAAGTTTGCAGTGCCATGGATATATAAAAATAAGTCAAACATTTATTCCTTCCTCAATGAACAATATTCTTTCCCTGGCAACGTCCACTGCACCTGCGTCAAATCACATGGGCTGTAAGTAGTACAATTTACCTCAGAAAACACTGGATACCACACTTCTCCCGACCAACATGACTACAGTACGGAAGAAGTGCGGCGAGAGTAGCAACAGCTGATGTCAACCAAGCTTGATCTGCCCGGAATCATCGTAGCGTTGGCTTCTCCGCAGTGCAGTCGAACCACTTATGACCACGTGATGGCGCTCGGCGAATAGGAGCACTGAACTCCTGCAGGTGGAGCGAGCGGCGCCAGGAAAACAGTGGCGCAACTCTGGTACCTAAAGGTAGCATATACAGTAACTCTAATCCAGACAACACTGCGTTTCATCTTTTGGTGACGGAGGGACGCCGGACGCGCTGAAACGCTCATGCGTAAAAGCAACGCAGCATGGCATGTGCCTGCGAGTATAGGGCAGGACTAGCGCCTTGCTTGGCAGGTGTGACGAGAAGAAATGAGCGCCGGTGAGCACGCGCACTGCGTCACGTCGAAATGTATTGACGCATTGACTGTGGCGTGTTAACATGTTCTCACATGACACGCATTTCATGATTATCATGTTTGCACCAGTCGCATACCTTCGTCATTCATTGACGTCACGTAATACCAAATTTTGCAGTGTAATGCTAGCGGTACGGCCGAGAACGCATCATAAGCGTGGCATGTAGTCATGTTGTTACGTGACACACATGTCGTGATTATCATGTTACTACGTGTCATTTATCTATGGCGTCCGTTCGCGTCGCGTAATACCGAGTATGGTACATGTGAAGCTATCGAAACGGCCGCGAGTGCTTCATCAGCGTAAAATTCAGTCATGTTCTTACATGACACGCATCTCATGATTATCATGTTTGCACCAGTCACATATCTTGGTCATCCATTCACGTACCGTAATACCAAATTTTATATATGTGACGCTAGCGAAATGCTCACGAGGCATCATGAGCTTGGCATGTAGTCATGTTGTTACATGACACGCATGACATGATTTTCATGTTAGGGTCTATCGCTTGTGTTCACCATGCAACCAAGTCATACCATACCAGTTTGGCAACATGCCTTGTGAACGAAACCACCGCAAGAGCTGCAAGACCAAGAAATGTAAATCATGACATTCATGACATCCATGTCATGATTTTAAATGCGAAGCATTTCTGAGCGAACTTTGGTGACTTTGAGAGTATCTATCTATCTATCTATCTATCTATCTATCTATCTATCTATCTATCTATCTATCTATCTATCTATCTATCTATCTATCTATCTATCTATCTATCTATCTATCTATCTATCTATCTATCTATCTAGCAGCTTACGTTTGGGTGTTTTCGTGGTAACCCCTTAACTTGACCTGAACCAAAATTAGCATGAAAAGGTAAGATGGTTTGACGAATATGATGCGCTGCTCAAGACCTCAATAATGTCCCAATCCCACCACGTACGTCGTCAAACACTTTCTGCCAGACAGTGGCACATACCCATGGGTGGGTATGCGCCGCTGGTATGCGGACATGTGCCACAGGTGATGGACGCTTAGTATCTACCCAGGAACGACGAGAACACACATGGGCAATTTTAACGTGCGGGCGTTGAGAAATTACCGACGAATGCAAACCCGACAGCCCGACGAATGCAAAGAATAAACGTCAGGGTCGCAGCTGGAATTGAACCCAAGCATTTTGCGTGGAAATTAAGCATTTTACCACAGAGCTACGCCAGGTCTCAGAACTACTTTTCAAAAAAAAAAACAAAAAAAAACGTTAACCTTCGTGAAACGTCAATAGTGGTGGCAGTGCTGCTTACCCAATTTTATAAACATTACACATGTGCTCTTTTCATACATCCGTAACGTCGGGTTAACGTCGATTGTGGTTAGTTGCCATGCGCTGAAGTTGATTTATGTGGCAGTGTTCAGGGCCAGCATCCTCGCGAGCATCAGCGTTTCATATCAGCTTCCAGTGTTGCTAGTACGTATGTTCCAGTTGGCATCGGTGCGCAAGTGCAAATAACTGCTTATATAAACATCTGCAACTCTATAACATATGTCTATGCGTGCAAGGTTTGTACATATATTTAGCGTCATTTCATGACGTGTCTCACATTTAAAAAGTTGCAGCACGGTCACCTTCCATCTACGTACGTCGGATCTGCCGAATTTTTATGTTATGACTAGTCAAATATGTTCTCCATACAGTCATGCTGAGCCACACGAAGTTTGGTATCGATACCATTGTCGAAACGGCCAGGAGAGCTAAAAGTGGTATGCGGCTAGATAGATAGATAGATAGATAGATAGATAGATAGATAGATAGATAGATAGATAGACACGTGCAAAGTCACCGAAGTTTCGCATTTAAAAAGGAGGCGTTGGTGGGAGAGACCTTCCGGCTTTTCGACACTTGGGTGCAGTTATAACAAACGGACGCTCGAAAACGGGTCTGGGGTGGCACCAGTTCTGTGCGATATTTTTTATGGTAATCTTAATCGGCTTGTTTATTGAAGTACGTGATCTGGTGGTTAGAATCTTTCGCAACGTTTATGACTACCTTATTTTTTTCCCGA